ATGATTTCTACATTGTCAGTCCTTTTTTCCTGCTCTGTCACCAACATGTACAGTAATGGGAAATCCAGACTTTTGACCGTTTTGCATTAGCCTTTAGCTTCACCAGTCGATCACATGGACACCTGGTTTCTGAGCACTATTCTATAGAACCTCCTTGGGTGCACCTTGAAGTAAATGTCCTGATGCCTCATCCAGGTAGAACAATCTAAAAAAATGTTGAGTAGGTCTTCTGGAYGAGGTCGTTGAAAAAAATGTTTTGTCTCTTCTCCAAGAGACTTCTTCAGTCTGAGGAATTACAGGGAGACCCGGTCTTATAAGCAGTGTTTACACATGGTGAACAGCCACGTTAATGATGACAACAACTTTTTTCTCAACCCTTCTTGTTCCCATCTGCAGCTTCACAATCCACCGACTGGCTGCGCTCTCTCTGATTCGCTCCCTGGAAATAGAGAACATGAGAAACAATGAGCAGTATATGAAATTAAAAGAGAGACTGCTTGATGTTAGTGTGCAGTCCGGAGTTGTCAGCATCTTCACCGCCTTCATCGCTGTCAACAAACAAGACGGTAAAGTCATTCAGGGGCCGCTGATCGTATGGGAGGATCCGAACTACGGTGAGTCTCTTACATGTGTTCAGACATCTCTTTTTCTGTTGTTTCATACTTTATGATACACAGATTTAGTTGTTTGCAGGTTCTGTTTTGTAGCTGCATTAAAAAACTGCAGAGTAACCCTGTCTTTTTATTTTGCACAGTGCCCATGCTTCGAGGAGCTCTGTTGGGTTTGTTTGCAGACACTTCAAGTAAAAAGAATAGTGAGTAATGAAATCCAAATCTTTGTTGTTTTTGGGTTTTCTGTCCATAATAGTTTACTCATAATTGCACCTGGGAAAACAAGAATTTAAGTATGTAATGTTGAGAAACCAGAAATGTAAACCTTTTTTTTTTTCAACAGTTTTCAGACGGATTTACTCGTCTCTAAGAAAACGCACTGCATTTAGGAGCAGCGGTAAGGAAACTACTGGAAAAATGTTTTGTAGCAGGACATGTCTTTGGCCTGCAGGGTGTGCTGCAGGATTAGTGTTTTTCTGGGCCGACACCGGGGTTAGTGGTGCTACTGTGGGATCTTGTGATTTTTATTCAGCATTTTGTTTTAAAGATTTGACTTTAACTTTTGTCCCAGACTTGAATGTCACAATGTTTCAATTTTTACAAATTCAAATTATTCATAACTTGCCTTTTTTATTGTTTTTCTCCTCAGAAAGCTCTTTAAAGAAGAAACAAACACCAGGTAAACAAATAAAAATTAGATTATCACCCGCTGGTGTAGGTGCAGCGATAATGGTTTTTGTCTGTGTTTAGGTGCATGAGCTCATTTGTCTGTACTTTTAGCTAAATGTCTTATGAACTGGTTGACAAACAAGACTGCAACTYTTAGTATGTAAACTTAGCACAAAATGTAAGGTAGTTTGTGTTTGGTAGAMTAGTTCTTTGTTGCAACAATAAATCTTAAAACATTAGAAAGCCTGGTAATTTCCTTTTTGAATGGTGCCACATTTGTAAGGAACATGCATTTGTGTGATGAGGAGTAGAGCTGAGTATGTGGGTTGTACACATGAAAAAATTGTTAAATCTTCTCTGCTAATGACTTGTTCGGTGTTTGGTGGACTGGATGATTGAAGCTTGAAGAAACAAGCAATATTGGCAATTTAACAATTAATTCATTGAACAAACAGGAGCATCAGTAGCCTGTGGAAGAACCATATACAGCCACAACAGCCTAGCATCACCTCCTCATGCTGGTCACCAATTTGGTAACACACTGCTGTGGGATGGCATCCCACTATTCAACCAGCTTTTGTTGCAAATTAGCCATCATGGTTCTGTTGCTCTCTATGGCACGAACAGCATGTCTGAGCTGATYTCACAAATTCTGGAGGTGGTCTCTGATAAACCACCTCCGTGGAAATGCGTGTTGCCATCTCATAGGATAGAGTTCAGTCCCAGACTGTGGAGAAATGGGATTGCCACTGGTTGCAGAATTTCATCTCAATATCTCGATACCTGATTGGCAGCACCTGGGGGAACCAGAAGCTCAGAACGAGTGTCAATAGCAACAGCAAAACAAGCTGTTTAGCAGAGAACATTATGCACATTTTTTATGTGCGCAACCCACAGACCCAGCTCTACTGCTCATCCCACACATGCATATTCCTTATAAACCATTTAAAAGGGAAATTAACAAAGAAATAATCTACCAAACACAAATTTCCTTACATTTTGCACTCTGAGTTCTGTTTTATTTGTAAGCAGTTCAGCACTAAAGATCTGGTTCAGTCCGTTTCATTCAGCTGATGTTAAGATGTGACCCTTTGAAGCGTTGTCCTTACTCTGATGTGAGATGCCGTAAATGAGCCCTGTCTGCTGGCAGCTATCTTGGATGGATCTTGTGGGAGTTGGTTTGATGATGGTGCTGTCAAACTGATGGTTGCAGTGAAAGCAGCTAAAAAAGCACAAAGATGAACAACTTTTTATTTGTTTTTTTTGGCAAAGCCCCCAGTTAACTTCTGATCCAGTTGTCATCAAAGCTTAAAGTGGTTGTTTTTATAAATCTAATACTTGTTCATTTTTTATGACTTTATAATTAGTTTAAATACACATACATACAAACAGCTGTTGCAAAAAAGACAGTTTGTTTGGAAGAATATGTTAAAGTATCAAGGCCAAACTGCACTTCCTGTACACAGCACACTTTTATTAGAGCACATGACGGAAGTAGAAGATTGTTAAATTTATTATTTTCCAAATTTAGGTGACTTGAGGTCAGATATTTTCTCACAAACTTAATTAAATACTCACAAAAATACACCCTTGCTGCAATGCCATTTTAACACATGCAAGTTAAACACAGGAAAATAGGGTTTGTTATAACAATTTATTTTTTCATTATAGTTAACTTTTTGCAGCAAAAACACTTTTGATTTTTTTCCCCTTTGGTCATCTTTTATTATGTTTTCGTGCATCTTAAACTGTTTGGATACTGTGTTTGTACGAAAAGTATGTAGTTGAGGAGCACCTCACTAAGCAAGATTTAAATATTAGTGGAAGTGTGTGTAAGTATGTGAGCCTGAAGAGGATTTTGATACAGTGGGGTGCGAAAGTTTTGACAGCCATGTTAATTTTCCTGATTTACCTATATAATATTGATTGTTCGGATAAAAAAATATCAGTAAAATCTATCATATAGGGGACAAACACAGTGATATTTGAGA